AATTTTTGGAATTTTACCAAATGATACTATTAGAGATATTAATCATGATATATATGTCACGATTAATATCTCCGATAATATTTGTTGGTGAAATATAAGCCTTATGGAGCAATAATTGCATGTTATAAGTAACCGCTTAATATATATGCACATATGTGTATAAAATATTACATATATAAAATACCCTGTATTAGTCATTTTAGCGGAATGCCTCTTTTGAAAGACACAGTCATCGATATTTTTTCAGCGCGTGATTACCGCTAAAACGCGGAGTATCCGGCGATACTTCTGAATGCCTCAACCTTTTGCTTCTCACAGTGCATAAATTAAAGAATGGTTTTGATTTTTAGAGTTTCGGCATTTCCTTGCACGCAGTATTTTTTGCTAAGATCGTGTGAATGGTCATTTCTTGAGTGCCACTCACTAACATTGGGTTTCATGTTCAGTGACCACCAGCAAAGAGGTCGTCTTGTTCTGGCAAGCAATTTTACCTTTGCAGGCAGTCTTTGACTCAAAAAGGACCAGTGATTTTTAGCTGGAAAGTGTAATGGTTGTTGGTGAAGTCAAGGAGCGTTTGTACATTTCGGAGCCTACTGGAGCCTATGCTATCGAATGCGCCAACTCACGGGCTTTACGTTTTTTGCTCATCAAACTATTGACCATTTCATCGTCCTTACTTGCGGCTACAACAAACGCTGTCAGCGCTACGCATTATTTACAGAAACAAATTGCGAAAACCAATGAAAGGATAAATTCGGTGAGTTTTGTGCTGAAAAAAATTGATAATTTAGTTGTTTATTGTTTGCTGAATATCCTATTTTTCTTATTTATGGTTAATTTTGCTTCTTTTTTGTTTACTCATTTTTACATCCTTATTACTTGCTCGATTACTTCTAATTGTCTGCTTTTTTGTATTACGTTTTCTCCTAATTTGTTGCCTATTTTGTCCTCGTTTTTTTGTTTGTTTACTTTAGCGTGATTACTGCTTATTGGATCAGTTTTGCATGCCCTGTGTATCGGGTCACATGTTTACTTGTTTGTTGTTCGTTTCATAGTATTGCGGGTGACTTTCTTTATTCGGTCAGTTTTTGCATGTTTACTATTTACAGGTCATTTTTGCAGACTATTGTTTCATAAATTCTCCTGTTTGTTTTGCCATTATTTACTTACTGCAATTTTGAGTGCAAAATATTTGTTGGGGCACTTTTGCATGTGCCGATTATTGGACTATTCTATTGGACTATTCTACTTTTTTAATTACTTATTAGTGTCTATTCTTTTTCAACTGCTATTTATTTATTGGGTTATCTTTATCCGTTTTTGTTTATTAAGCAGCGCGGTTACTTTTTTAATTACTTATTTATTAGTAACCACTTAACTTCCTCCTTTCGCACCTCTTGCTGTGGCAGTTCCTGCCCTAGTTGACCTCGCGTGACATACTCCACCAACCCTCTTCTCGACATCTGCGCGCTACGCAGCCACACGTAACTTCTTATTGGCAACCTCACATCCTGCACTTGTTTGCATCCTTTCCTTCACTAAATTCACGCCATGTACTCCTGCGCAACCTCCTCCTTGCTTAATTTAAGCCCACGTAGCTCTTCTCAATCTAAAGTGATATTTTACTTGCCCCTTAAGGGACAGCTGTTTTTCATCCCAAAAAATCCGAAGCAGAACTGTTGGTCGATGGTTTATCCAATTTCAATAATTTTGCTGTTAAATTCTGTGGCATTCTTATATCCAAAAAAAAAGGTTGAGCAGTATTTGAGTACTTAGATGTTTACTTGATTAGTTGTCTGCAAATTTACCTGTGTATTTACTTATAAATTTACTTATTTGCTCTAAAATTTACTTACATACTTGCTCATCATTCAATAATTAAAACGTATGTTTCTTCAGGTCACTTGTCTAGAAATCCAAATTGTTTACTTATTTCGTTTAAGAGAGTATCTGTATCCTGGCAAATCCTGGAAAATAACGTTTGATTAATAGTGTTTGGTTGAAATGCTCAACGGTTGTTATGTAAACGTCAATCATTTGCGCACAGAGACTGCTGCTTCTAGAGGGTGTTTTGATTTCCAGAAATGACATTGAGCTGCATCCAGAATTTCTAGAAAAACAATTTTTTCTTGGTGCCACATGGGGACAGTTTAAATATTTCAAAAAAAAATTGTCTTCTCATTTTTCACGCTCCGCTTCATAGTATTTTTTATTTTCTCTGATTTAAGTACTTTTAAAAATTTTTGCAAAAAAAATGGCAAAACATCCAAGCGACATAACTAAAATTTTGCAAATATTAAAAAAAATCTTTTTTTGCTTTTTGCACCTTTACACATGTCGAAAAATACGTTCGCACCTCACTCCTTGGAGGAAATTTTTGAAATTTTCGACTCTGCTAAAAAATTTTGCGTCTCAAAAAATTTTGGATTTTCGTGAGAATTTCGAAAACTCATTATTTTTACTCTGTGTGAGGGATAAAAATTCTGAAGTGGCTCTTGTGATACCGCAGTGGCAAAAGCAACCACTCGTGGCAAAGTTTTCAATAACTCCCCCACCCCCCGTCTCTTCCTTTTCAAGGACAGTGATTCAAAAGTGCAATCAGTTTTATTCAAAGAAAACTGGTTGCAGTTTTGAATTCCTGGCATGACAAGTAACAATCTATTAACGAAATTAATTAGTGAGTGAATACGAGCGGTTGTGAAATTCAGTTACAAGCTTGGGAAGAAAAAATATAAAATTTTTTTGGTTTTTCCTCATTTCTTTTTCGGGAAAAAAATTCCGGATAATTGCAGAAAAAAGTGATGCAGAAATTTAAAACTCGTTTTTTTTTCTGAGTCTGCTGATTGTTTCAGCTTATCCGATCACTGGCTGCACTGCAACCGGAACGCGAATTAGCTCGTGATCTGAGCGAACAACTGGAAATGGCTCAACTACGGCTATTTGCACTGAAATATCGCTTAGCTGCAATCTGCGATGTGGCCTTTCCAACACCGTCGGCTAGTTCCATGCACTATAAATCAACAAATTGCTACGCTAACATTTGGTGCTCTTAGATTCAAAAAATGGAAGACATTCGGATCTTCTCCGGAATTTAAAACTTCAAGAGAGCTGGATGAAAAAATATGTTAAAACAGTAGAACTAGTCCAGGCATTGGCCGAAGATGTGGTAAAATGGACAGGACAGTTTAATTTATGGTGGAAAGTAGTACGCTATTGAGTCCAAAGGCGGTAAAATAAATCTAGAGCAAAAAGCGGACTAAGAACAAATATTGGTTTGGATTTTACAGGAATTTAGTTTGCCTTTCAAAAACTCTTTTTCTTATATTCCTCATTTCTCACAACAATACTTCTCAAAAACAA